AATAAGCCCGCACGGCTACTACGCATTCTTGAACGTTCAACTGTTCCATGGCTACTAAACCTCCACTGCTACTCTACAACTTACCACCCTCTTCACATTTCTTCTCCCCTCACACTGCTGCCAACATCACATTCAAAATTCCCACCTTTTTGCGCCACCCTATATCTAACCTAACCTGTCATGGCTTATTTTGTGATATACGAGTAGTTCAGGTATTTGTCTGTCTGGGCTGAAGAGATCCGGTCTCCTGGCATAGAATCGAACCTGAAATGTCCCAAAAACAAGGCTAGAGTGTTAACCATCCAATCATATTTCCATGTCCTGTTCGTTCATTGCCACCTGCACACGGCCGTTGGCGGAAATCTTTGTGTCAGCCTGTCGGAGGACGCGCTCCTCGGATGTAACGAGCTCGCATCATGCACACGGGTTGAATGACACGACCGTAAATGTCTCAGAATAGATTCTGACGTGGAAACATGTTTTCTGTAACTTAATTTAGAGCCTCTTTGCATTAGCATGTGAATAAATGTGGCTCATGACAAGAGCAGAAAGAACGTCACCTTCTGCATGAGAGTTATATAACAGCGCTTTCATAACGCACATGCATCTGTAAACAAATTGTGGCTCATCGAAAAAGTTTGGGAATCACTGTTCTACAGCACCGAATGGTAGGATGACAGCGAAAACTGATTTGTGTAGGATTAGGAAAGAAGCGGGCGTAGCCTAATCGAAATATCCTGGCGGCTCGTGACTGGACGGCATAAAGAATTTCAGCCACTGTAGCCATGTGTCCCAGCCGAGATTCGAACTGAGAACCTTCCGAATGCAAATCTAGGGCATTGTCGATGCATCAACTTGCTCGGTAGGACGGTGGTGTAAAGCAAATAGTCTACAAATAAGGGGATAATATTAAAATGGCTTGTACTAAAATCTGGCATGAAGGATGTGGTCAGATTCTCTTACAGCAAGACAGTGTCCAGAACATTTCAAAATACCTTGACTAGCCGAGCAGCCGCCATCTTTTTCAGCTCCTGCACGGCGTAGTGATCTTTATTTTTAAATTATATGACACGCAGCTTTTCGGAAGCTCTTCGTGTTTGCTATGCAGAGAAATGAAATGGAAGGGGGGAAAATGTAATCAGGTTCGGGCTGGTTCGGGGTTCTTGGCGCTGTTTATTCAAGTCTTTAGACACAAATCTACGTGCAAATATTTTTCTGCAACTAGAAATGCGCGCGCGAGACTGTCAGATGACTTGCTACTTCGCAGTGTCTGTGGGGTCTCCACAATTTACTCCGAAGTTCGCAGTCATGCCTGGGTACAAGACAGGCTTATGTCACCATAATTTGTTCAGATAGTCGTTTGAAAAGACCGCCTCTGTGGTCTAGTGGTCAGAGTTCCTGGCTACAGATCCAGAGGTCCCGGGTTCGATTCCCGGCGTTACCAGATTTTCTGAGAAGTAGTGGGTTTGGAACGAGGTCCGCTCGAGCTCATGAGGATAACTGAGGAGCTAGTTCAGGGAAATAATGGCTCCGGTCTAGGAAACCGAAATTAACGTCCTTGGGGATCCGTTGTGCTAACCACGTGACACTCTCTATCAGCTGAAACTGGCACCACCTCCGCCGACAAGCTGCGGTCGCTCGGTCGGTATAGTTCGCTTGCGGACTAAAACCACGGAAAAGACATTTAGGCATGTGACTGTTTTTGTGCTATTTAACGACATCTTTCTTCTGAGGTGGTCATGTAATTTCGAACGACATGGGAAGGTGATCATAAATTGTGAGTACGTAAGGAATTAGAAAAGATCGTGGTCTATTTAAAGGAATTATCGCAGTATTCGTCGAAAAGAATGGGACCATGAAACATCTGACGGAGGGCAGCCTGTGGCCCGGCCGTGATTACAGTCACTTACCTCCCTGTTACCTGTGACAAGGGTTCTCAGATTTTGTGACAAGGAGACCCCTTGAAATAGAGCCCGCATAAACTTAATCGACTCTCCCTCCCCAAATCTGGCACGCGGTAGCGCAGTTGGTTGAGGCACTATGCTACAAGCCGGAAGGTCGCGGGATCAAGTCCCGATGAGGTCATTGGATTCTTTTCAATTGACCTAATCCTTCCAGCCGCACTATGGCCCTGGGGTCGACTCAGCCTCTAACAGAAATGAGTACCAAGAATTAATTAAATAATTTTCCTGGGGAGTAAAGCGCGACCGGTGCGTAAGGCTGAGAACCTTACCGCCATCTTTGAGCCGATTGTCTAGAAAATGTGGGACCCTCAACGTATCACAACCCTATGGGCCTTCATGGCCTGTTACAGGGATAGATTTACTTTACTTACTCCCCAAATCTGCCTGTAGTCGAAGAATGAACTTCTGCACGTTGTTGCAGGTCCCTGTGAGGCCGTACAGTGACAGCAGGGACCTGAATAGCCTTACAGCCCCTCTGGTTTACAGTAAGCAATAAAATGTTCCTGTACAGTCACGAAATATGTGTCAAAGCGTTTAACCGATTGCAGCTACATCTTACTGACGTGGCCAGAACCGTGCGTGGTTGAAACTATATTTTAAACAGTTCTCAGAATTCGCCTACCCCCGGAAAGATTTTTTATGACATGTAGAGAGGCATCGAAATTTTTATTCTTCCAGAAATTTCTCGAAATAAACTTCGCAAACTGTATTAACAATTTAAAAATAGGTATATGTCCAATAGATTTATATTTTCGATTATTTATAGCTATTGTAAATAAATATAGCAGCGTGCATTCGTACGTAAATGAAGTCCTAGTGGAGGAGTATGAACCACGATAAGAAAGGTCTTGGCTTAAATGCTTTGTTAGTTCCATTACAGTTTGGTGTGCCGGAGTTTGACTCCCTCGTCTCATTCTCCGGTTCTGCTAATCACCAGTCACCTAAATCTCTTCCTTTCATATACTTTCCTTGCCGTTCCCTCACATTTCATATTTAATCATATGTGTTTCACTTGTCTGTCATTTCTGTGCTCTTCATTCTTGCAGCTTACTCTCCTCCTTAATGCCTATTTATGGATCGCTATACCCAAACCTCTTGTTCGGAAGTACGCGGTAGTGTAGTCGGTGAAGACACTATGCTACAAGCCGGGAAATCGCGGGTTCGGCTTCCAGTGACGTCATTAGATTTTCCAGTTGACCAACTCCTTCCTGCCGCACTATGGCCCTGGGGTCGATTCAGCCCCAAATAGAAATGAGTACCAGGAATCTTCTGGGGGTAAAGGGCGGCTGGAGCGTAAGGCTGACCTCACTGCCATCCATTTATCTTTCATGTCATTAAAGTATCCAGTATTCCAATATGTGAACATTGGCCACTGTAAGAATATCAGCAGACGAATACAAGTGAATGTAAGAAAAGTAAAATACCTGATGATGTCTTAATGAGCTGAAGCTTGTTGCAAGAAAAGGCGAACGTGTGGTGTGTCCACATTTCTTATTGTGGTGAAGGAATAAAGTAAAGAAATCTCTTGTACAAAATGTGCCCCTCCAAATCTGTGTTCCATTACACTTCAGTATGTGGCTCCAGTCGACCTGTTTTTCAGATATGGGACAGATCCCCTGTTCATTGTTTCTGCTAACTTGCTTCGGTTTCCAAACTCCAGTTTTCCACCAAATTTTAATGTGAGTGGTTGTAACACTTCAAGCGCTGAGCCCCCGTAGCAGGTTTCACTCAAATCTACGGACGGACGGATATCTTCATTTTGTGCTCTGAGTGCAAATAATTCACGCAGTATGGACAACACAAGTCATGACTAGGACGTGTGGTGTGACGGGCGCCGTTCGTGCATTCCACAGTCCATGTACAGAGAACATCGCACACTCGCTTTCTAATTACACTCTTTGCCGTTTTGAGTATCCGGTTGTAACAAACGCTCGCGTGTTAGTCTGTTGTCACAGAGTTAGCGCTGCAGATAGGGCCAAAAGGGAAATTGGTATCTTTGTTTCTCGTTAAATATTTACCATATCAAGAAGAGTTCAGATTAGAATTGTTTATATCATTAAATGTAGGTTTGTGAATTGTTTCAAGACCTATTTTTTCTCGTGGTAGTTGTTTCTCAAAATTATGTTAGGCTGAATTTGTAGGTTACGTAAAGTAGCTATATGCCATCCAGATTTCATGAGCAACCAAGACCAAAGCAAACATCAGAGAACAAAAAGAATAACCTAAAAACTTCAGCGAACAGAGAACAAGAAATAGCGAAATCAGAACATCAGATATGGAAATGCTGAACCGAACTCAAGTCATAATAACGACATTGTCTCCAGTTCTAATCTTAACCTCGATTTTAATAAAATGTCGAAGCAATGCCCTGTTTTGTCTGTAACGTCTCTATACATCTGGCAGTGTATCAGCCCACGGAGCAGAACATAAACGCGTGTAACCGCTTGAAGACTTGCGTGTAGTGGTCAAAACCTTTTATCTTAGGAACGAACATAACTGTGACATAGCAATTAATAAATGATTACCGAACAGGCTGATCTAGAAATAACGCTCTAGGCCTGTATTCTGGAGGTGTTTAGTTTAAATTTCGGCCTGGGGCACTGGCTACCATGATCGAGATTTGTCATGGTTTTATTCGGTCCGTCTGGGCAAATGCCGGGATAGTACCTCCATTAGGTCCAGACCGTTTCCTGGCAATTCATCTATAATCCGTCCCTACACAGTCTCCACAGTGTCGTGTAATATGCACAAGAACATCATTTGGGCGTGTTGTGTGCAGAAGACGCATAAGTGTAACCGACTGAGCCAGCAGGATGCTGTAGTGTAGCATAACAGTTAACATTTATCGACAAGCACTAAATGCAAATTCATCCGACAGCTTCTAGCGGGGAACCCCAAATAAATCTGGCTGCAGAAGCAGGCACACATGACCTGTCCATTTTACACTCAGTTTATACGTTTTTTAAGAACTCGTGAAGTGAAGTTGTTGACGCCGCTGGCTTGTGCTAAATCCATTCCTGACGTCGTTTGTTGTAGCAACTCGTTGGCCCGTCAAGTGCCCTGGGTCTCACCAGGCGAAACGGGGTCAGCACCGGACAAGACGGGCCTCCTAGAGTTCAACAAGATGTTTCCCGACATCGTGAGGGATCTCACGCACACCGGCCGGCACCTCGATGTTCCCAGAGCAACGAAATGGTTTGCCAAGGTAATTCCTTTTATTATTATTATTATTATTATTATTATTATTATTATTATTATTGGGGTGGGATGGGACTGAGTCCACTTGGTACGTCGGCCATTGTTTGTCCTATTGTACCATCCTGGGATGACAGATGATGATGAGTGTGTTCCACTCGGTGGAATGAAAATTGTAAGGGGAATAAGAAATACTGTAATAAAACCTACCTCAGTGCCACTATGTTCACCGCAAATCCCACATGACCTGGCCTGGGATGGGACCCTAGCCGGCGACTAACCTGCTGAGCTAAGGTAAAGTCCATTGCTATAAACTGGTACCGTGCGTAAGAAAACAGGTCATGGAGCGGAGGCCGAAGTAAGGAGCAGCCCTTCACGAGCTGATAGCCGATCACCAAGTCAAGTAATTCCATGCATTTTACGGGATCCGAATGTTCATTACCGTGATTACAAGACTGGTCTCTTGTCTCAAGCCAGATGAATTCAATCCAGATCCTTCCATCCTATTTCTTTCAGATCCGTTTTAATATTATCCTCTGTCAACTACGTTTTTCAGGCGATCTCTTTCTTTCGGACTTTCCTAAGTAAACTTTGTATGCATTTCTGTTATGTCCTTTGGGTTGTACATGCCCAAAAAATCCCATCATTCTCAGTTTGATCGTGACTGTACATAAACATTTTGGGGGCACGCGGTAGCGTAGTTGGTTGAGACACTGTGCTACAAGCTGGAAGGTCGCGAGATAGATTCCCGATGGGATCATTGGATATTTTCAACTTTCTTAAACCATCTGTCTGAACTATGGCCCTGGGGTCGACTTAGCCTGTAACAGAAATGAGTACTATGAATCTTCCTGGGGTTAAAGGGTAGCCGGCGCGCAAGGCTGACATCCTCACCACCATCTCTTGAGTCGATTTTCTGGAAGAGGCGGGAGCCTCGGCCTCTCACAGCCCTATGAGCCTTCACGGCCTGTTACTTTTTTTAATACAACAGGACCTGTCGATCATCTAGCCGCTCGGTCTTAGGCATGACCTGTCTTCCTCTGCTCGAACACTGTGGGCGTGGGTTCGAATTCTGTGTTTGTGCCGTCATCTATGTAGATAACGGCCTTGCGATGGACTAATCCCCCGTCCAAGGAGTCCTGCCGGCTGTGTACAGGATTACGAAACTGAAAAAGCGGCCGTGGCCGAACAAAGGGCTGTAGAGCCATTGTTGATTGAATGCAGTAGGACCTGTGTATATATGATCCGTATGGCGGCCCAGAATTCCACGTGGTACCTCGAATAGACCACGATCACGTCAGTTAATCATTCATCTGTCATACTGCCCTTCTACACGATTCAAACTAAGATGCTGTCGGCGTCTTAAGGAAGCAACAGACATTACATCCTCGGGATTGGACAGTTTTTCCGATACAGAGTGAATTTTGAACACTTTCTTAAGTGCTCCAAGTCTGTGCCTTTGTTTAAAGCGGAAGGAACTGAATTTAATTTTCGTATATACGTCAAGTACCAGTTATGGAACAGAACTCAGTTTGCGTGAGCACAGTCGAGCTCTTGGCAGTGATACATAACGTACATACAGTTATCCCTCTGCAATACGCCATGAAGGAGGTTTGGCTCCACTCTTTCTTAAGCCCGGTACTAGATGGAGGTGAGCGGTTATCTCCCCCCCCCCCCCCGGTACACATTGGATAGGAGGCTGGGTGGGCCCCAGAGTCGCTCTGAATGCTGTGCGCAAGAGAAATATCTTGCCGTCGCCGGGAATCGAACCCCGGCCTTCCAGCCCGAAACCCGTCGCTGTACCGGCTAAATTATCCCTCCTCCTATATCCATTTGAAAGGAGGCTCTGTGGACCACATAGCTAGGTGGACGCAGAGTGAAAGAGATAAAGCTCTTGCCTTTTTGGGAATCAACCCCCGTTTTCCATGATCGTCCAGCCTGTAGCCTACCGACTGAGATATGCGGGACGTACATGAACGCCTGCCAACCTGCTCCCAGGCACGTACTCAGTCAGAGCTGACTTATCTGTGCGCGGGAGTGGGCAAGCTGAGGGGCCTGGCTGGCATGACCTTAACACATTCGTGTTCTTCCGCACGTGCGTCCCCCAGAGAGAACTTACGCATCAGCGAACCTATAAGATTTTCGTTCAAACAAAGTATAATCTTTGATGATTGCGTTGCTTACAGGTTACTTTGAGACATGTTTCATGCAAAACTTGTAGTTCCATGTACGCTTCTTTCTATGGCTAGCCTTTTTTTTTTAATATTACTGAACACAGGAGTCTGTACTTGTATCGGAGCTTATTTTATTACTTATTTGTTTTCACTGAATGGACAGGGACTATCTGTAAATTTGCCCAGCGATACCAAATTACATGGAAATCCTTTGAGCAGTTCCGAAGATGAAACATTCTGACTGACCTTACTTTCCATTTTGAATTCCCGTTTGTTTGTATGTTTTTGAAAATAGCTCTTGAATCATAAAACTTGCTTGCCAGTGTTGGTTACTGTTAGCGTGAGTTGTCTAGCAGGATGGCATTTCAGCTGCGATACCCACATTTTCGAAACAAATCGGTTAGTTTGCGTGAACCCCGGTGCGCGGTATATCGTTACTGGTAAAATCACAGAGAATGCATGTACTGACTTAAATAGTCCGGGATATTGAGCTGTTCTTCATACAATGCCCTACTTGCGCGTCGCCCTTATATAGCCAGTAACTTGCTCGTTAGCGTCACAGTAGGCACGTGTCATTATATACACGTGTTTTGAATGCTTGAGTTGCCACACGTATCCATGAACGCAATCAGAATTTAAGGATAGCGAATACATAAACTGAGAATGTGACGAAATTCAGTTGCTTCGAAACAACAGCAGGACTGTGTGAGATTTGAGGCTTTCACGGCGGTGACTATGAATAAAGTAGTCTTCTGGGATTTGGCACCGTGTATATGTGGTGTTAACCGACGTTTCGGAGGAACGTATCGCCTCCATCTTCAGGGCAGAAGAAAAAATATAAGAAATCTGCAAGCGGAGAGACCGTGAGAACCGGTAAAAGCAGACTGCAGTCTGCATATACACGGTGCCAAATCCCAGAAGACTACTTTCTTCAACAGCAGGAATCAAGATGACATTCAAGACGAAATTAAGGGAAAATTATTTCGAGGAAATGTTTGCTGTCTATGACGGTCTGTTTCTTTCCAGAGCAATATCGGAAAACTTCAAGATTAATATATTTCATTTCGGAGGCATATTACAAGGTTAACTTTTGGAGCTTGCTTTTGTAAATAATTTTGTAAGAAGGGCATCATTAATATGGGGGACAACGTGACAGCAAATTTTAGTGTTTGGGTCACCTGTCGGTACGTAAGAACCAAATTATAGCTTACCCATTCTTTTGTATGAGTGTGATACTTAGGATCTCGATCTAAGGGAAGAACAAACTCGTAGGTTGAGAGTGTCTTGGGAATAGCGCGCTGAGTTATATAAGAAGGAAACGAAAGGTAGATGGATAAAATCCTTATCTATTATTGTGGTAAGTAACTCAGTATTCGGTAGACAAGCCCTGTAGTACGCATGGAAGAATGAGAATATTATACAAATCGAAGAAAGCAGGCTTCTGGGATTTGGCACCCAGAAGCCTGCTTTCTTCATAGTCACCGCCGTGAAAGCCTCAAATCTTACATTATACAAATCATTTGCAAAGGAAAAAGATGCACAGCATATCAAAGCGTGGATGGGATATACGAGGGAAAGGTCATTAAAATGAGGATAGGATTCATATGGTTAAGGATACGGTCTAGGGATATATTCTTTGAGAATTAGGTGATGAAATCTATGGTATTCTGGTTTGTAACGCTGTATAATTCTGAGAGATCCCGACATTTCCGAGGAAGATGTCATTTTTCATCTTCAGTGTCGAAAAGTAATCCAAGCAAGAAATCGTCTGCCCCTACTTCGGCTAGTTTCGTGTTTGGCTAAGGCTCTGAACATGGAGGCATTATATTCCTCAGAAATGCCTGGCTGTGTCCGACCTACACGGCATTACAACCCAGAAGACCTTCCTCTTCATAGACATCGCCCTGAGAGCAGTAAATGCAAAATGCATCGTTGCCCCTCTGCTCCCTATTTCCACTGTTCAGCATCTTTACTGCATTACAGACTGCCTGAACCGAGTGGCTGATGAACTTTTGGTACAAAACAGAAAATGCCTTGAGCAGGTGAAAACATTATAAAATTTTCAAACAAGACATTGCAACATGAAGTTAATTACAAGAGTAGTTAGTTATCTCGCACATGTGCAATCAACCCTCACTGATCCGGTTGCAGTTAATCTGAAGGTCGGATAATCCGGTTCGAAATACGAAAAACATTCTATTCACAGTTGAGTACCTACTTTAAAACACACGTCTGGTTTATGAGCAAGAAGGATTAGAGCGAAGAGGACTTTGGGACTCTGGTTGAGGGCAGCTGGAGAGTCCGAAACCACTTAAGAACAAATCCAAGGCTGCCTTGAGCTGGATGGAGACCCCGAATTTCAGCTTCTCACAGAGGAAGAAATTGCTGCAGTGATAATTTTTATATTTATTTTCATCGTCACCACCAGTATTATTACATCCTCTATTTTTTGTTTTCTAAGTTTTTTATTTTTAGCGTTATCTTTTGCGTCATTAATCTGGATTATCGCTTAATCCTCCTCCAATTAATCCGGGTTAGGTTTATTTGTATTTATTTACTTTATATACTCCATGGTGTAGTGTCTTTACTCTTGTTCAGGTCAAAATGTTATCTGACCTTTGACATTAGCCATGGTTTTAGCCGCTCTCAACATGATGCGCAGTAGACTGGTCGAGCCTGGTAACAGAGACGTGGATGCTAAGGTGTGTGTGGGTTGTGGCAGGACCTAAGTTACTGTGCGTCACTCTCCCTCCCTCCGACAATAAAACAGAAGCCACTGTCTCCGTACTTAATCCTAGAAATCTCACGCGCAACCCAGAAGTCAGGTCTGAAAAAC